CTCAGGGCTGCTCTCTATCCACCATCCACTCAGCCTGTACTTGTACTTGGGATTACAGATACATACAGAGAGCAGCATTGTCTTACTGTTATCGGTGCTTTTATATGTATCTTACACCACTCACTTTTATGAATGTCTCCCTCTCACTGGACATCTTACAGATTCTGAGACAAAAAATGAACCTTTGTGTCCAAGAGACCAGGCCACTTCATAGAAGGGTTACCCTAGTATATTACCTAAATTGTTCTCAGAATATCAAAATATTTTACCAGAATACACAAATATCCCTAGCTTTTCTTTAGTGAAAGTATTTATTACTCTCCATCATGTCATTTTTTTAATATATCCAGGTTATTTTTCTAGGTTCCATAAAGCTCTTTTTTTGCTCCTGCATATTGTGCTTCACAGGAAATATAAAAAAATAATGGCTCTCCAACATCTTTGAGTATGAAAATAATATCGGCAGGAAGTAAAGCAGTCTTTCTCAGTGTGGAGCGTATTTATTTATTTTGAAATTCAGAAAGGCACTGTGTGAGTGCTGACCCAGTGAGGCCAGCAACTGACCCTTAATTGGGAGATTTGCTTGTTGCTGATCTGAGGCAAAAGACACCTGTATGGACCCCACAACAGGAGCAGAAGTAAGTCATACTGGGGACTGTGCCAAGAAGGATGCAGGACTAAACTTTTTCCTGTGAAATGTTCAGGAAGATTTGAAATCAGCTATGGGCTTGGCCTGATGATGCAGTCTTGGACACTTAAAACCATACATCTAATTTTAAAAAATTATTGAAGAACAGTGTTTCAAAAGTAATGAGACCACTACAATAGCAAAAGGCTGCTTTCTGATGCACTCAAACAAGCTAGTTACCTTGCACAAATGGAAGTCACTAGAAACTGGACTCTGCAATATCAGTAGGTGACTGGTTGAATTTTTAGACAGAAAAATATTTTTGAAAAATCTTTCCATGAAAAGAAAAGTGAAATTTAATTAACTGCATTATATGCCAATTGTATTTTGAATTATAAAGCTCTGTTTACACAATGATCCACAACTCTTTCCTCTGCAGATCAGTGAGTTGCTAACAAGGGTAAGAGAAGAAAAGAAAAAAAAAACCCAAACACAAAAATCTTCATATAGTATGTAAAGGAGAGAAAAGTGCCAAGATCACAAAATGACTGTTAAGTGGATGCCACTAATTCTATCTTATTATTTCCAGATATCCCAAAGGGTAATGGTCAGTGGTTTGGAATTTCTTCTTCAAGCTAGATCAAACTACTGTACCTTTTTCAGTCATTTTTGTTTAAACTCTTTTTTTTGTTCATTACTAATGTTCACATTATATTTTTGAAAGTTTAAACATTATATTTTTGAAAGTTTGTTTTAAAATCCCATTTGAAATAATGTGCTTTCACTTTTGCTGGGACTACTATTGTTGTTTGGGGCATTTTATCATCTTTCATAGATCAAATTACCTTCTTTTATAATAAAATAGTCGACACAACAAAATTGATGTATTTTGGACCATAAAAGAGCATGCATATTTTACATTTGCAAGAAATAACTTCTATCCAGTGGTCAAAATGGAAATTCAGAACTGCCAGGAGTAGTTTTGAGTGATACTTTCAACCTGTTTTGTTTTCTTATCAAGACTCCTATATAGCTTTCACATGTAGTGACTTCTTGATAACTGAAATAAGTTTTATCAATCTTCTTTCAAGAATACTCCAAAAATAGTCTACTGACCCAACTCTCTGAAGGTCTGTAGAGAAGTTTGAGAACTACTCGTTCTGAAGCCATGTTTACTCTTATTCTATGCATTTCCTCTACATAGAAAGTATAGAACTAACTCACAAATGCCAGAATACTGGCCTACTTCAACTACTGAAAATTGCATTAGTAATATGGATAATTCACATGTTTACTGCAGTAATGATGATATCAGCATGGTATAATACCCTAAAAAACATACAAAAATAACATTTAAAAGTCTGCAAAAATAAAAAATAAACCCTCCAAACAAAACATTTGAAAAATCTAGAGAGAAAAGCGTCTTAAAATTGGCATCTTTTGGAATATTTGATTAAGCAAAAGTTCTGCAAGAAGATACTTTGGTTCATAAAAGATTATGCATATTTTACATGTGCAACAAATAAGTTTTTATTTTTACTTACTCCAAAAGCAAATTTCAGATTGTTTAAAATTTTTCAGACCAGGAAAATATCTAGAGATGATCCATTAACATAGTCCGTCCCTGTTTGCCTCACTGACGCACTACTGGGCATGTCGAGCTCAGTCCCGAAAGCTGAGTGACAGCAGGGATATGCATGACTGGCTGTGGCAGCCCCAGCCAGCTGCAAGGCAGCAAACCACCCATGCTAAGCGGCGTGTAGGCACAGCATGCTGCAAAGCTGCTTACCCAGCAGGAGCATGCGGCCTCATCCCAGGAGGTGCTGAGTAACCTCAGAGGTGCTGAGCCCTCTTTTCCCAGCTTGAGTTCAGTCCTGGGAGATGCCCGGTACTGTGGTGGGCTTAGCAGGCTCAGGAGCCTACCAGTTTTATTCCACTTTCAGTGATGAAGCATGCACCCTCCTCCCAGGTTCAGTGGCAGAGCAGAAACTCAATCTTTTTCTTGTCCATTATGGTGTGGTCTAGGTGTCCCAAGGATGCAAGGAGGGACCTACACTGCCTCTGCTCCAGAATGGAGGGACCTAGCACTGAGAGAAGTGGAGAATCCCCTTTGATTCCTCACCTATTTGTGCTCTTGCCATCCAAATTGAGGCCAAAAGTGAGCTGTGCAGCACATCCTCCCTTTGCTGTTGTTTTAAGCAGCTCTCTAGTTTCTCTGGCACCGGACATGTGTACATCTCCCTCTCCACCATGTCAGCGAGAGCACAACCCATTGGAAGGGAAAGGGATGACACGAGGGAGCTTTGCAGTTAGTGAAAGCAGAAATTCTCCTTCCTCTGCTACAGATGTTCTTGTGGTCTAAAGAATAAAACACTTTTTTTTCCCCCCCAAATTAATATATTACCTCTTTAATGACAACCCCATTCTGCTCTGAATGCTGCTCTTCTGTAAACAATGTGCATGGAACTGACTTCTTCATGCCTGGAAGTAAACAAATGGACTTATTTTAGCTCAAACTAATCATTTCTTAACGTTCTTATTCTTTACAGCAATATTCATTAAGCCCTTCTATTATACTTGGTGTAAGGAGAGAACTGGTGATTGCATTAAAAGCAATGATAAGTTACCATTTTAATGATTCCTTATGTTGTGAGTAATTTATAAATCACTCCGTATCTTCCCAGCAAAGCTTGCCTTCTGTTTTTAAAACGTACCTTTTCATATCCAACAAAGGGTTTCAGTGCAATAAGAATTAAGGTGTGTCTCTTAGCTTTTACCTGCAAGCAATAATGATGTTGTCAAGCATTTCAGGTGAGACCAGCCCAGGATTTTGGGGTGGGGAAAGACACTCTGTTATACAGCATCTTCAGTGCTTCCCTCAGAGGGAGGTAGAGACACCTTGAAGGGCTGAGTGTAAGGACATCTACTGAGTGTCTTTTTAAATAGACACCAGAGTTGGGGGGGGGGGGGGGGAAAAGGAACGGGCTTGTAACCATAACTCAGTTGGACTTGTATCCGAGAAGGCAGATGCCATGGATTGGCTCCCTCACCGAACGGCTGCTTTTCTGTTCCTTTTATTGGTAAGTCAGATTTTTAAACAATATTTGTAAACTCTATGATTATGCCAGTTGCTCAGCACAGCATTACATTTTACAGTGTAAACTACGCTCCCAAAAAAATCTCGTGAAGTTTAGCATGAAAAATAAAGCTGTGTTTAATTTTAACTGCACTTCTGAAGGTTGTGTACAAATAATTTAATTTTTGATTAAATGCTGACAAATGTTTTTTTTCATTATGACTTTCTGGAGTCTGTGGATGAAATATGTGACTTTATGCTTAATGCATGCCTTTTCAGATTAATGTTGTCTATGGCTACTATTTAAGGAGTCACTGTTACCAATAAAAATCTTATTATTACAAAAATCCTAGTACTTGACAGGATATTATTTGGTTCAATGTCTATTTTATTATTGTTATTATTATTATTAATAATAATTAGGAGAATATGAAAAGCAAATCTTTTTTTTCCAAACTGATTAGCAAGAGTGCTTCAGAGCTGACCGATTCCTATAGCTATGTTTAAAAGAAAAACGTGAAATTCAGTGTAGACCTTAGCTGAGCAAAAATTAAGTCTTGGCCTATTATTTCACAGTACAAAGAATTCCCATCTTGTAGTGCATTACTGTCTGAGCCGTCATGTGCTGAGCAAATGAAGGCATGATGGAGGTGTCGATCTTCGGGTTTGTTTTTCTCACCGTAAAAAGAAAGTTGTGCATAATTGTGCAATTGTTCATCAAGGCACGAAAATTATCCAGAAAGGACTTAAAAGAATTATGGAGGCCCTTGTACTCCTGCAATGTGATTTTTGTGTGGATTATTTTTACTCCTTTGTGCTGCTTTTCTAAAATTACTTAGAGGTTTAAGGCGCCGAAGATTGAAGAGAGTAGAATTTCTATTATAGTTATATCCTTCTGTGACTTTCATTTTACACAATGTATTAATAACTGTAAATATTTGTAAACTTCTTGCTACTGATCACTTTAGAAATATTATAGACAGGGGAAAAGTGTTTGTTGTTATAGAATATGAAATCCTAAGACTTACTTTGAAAAGATAACCCATTAATTTTAGATGACAGCTCTGCGGTCAGTAAAGTAGAACTTACCAACACAGGGCAGCTGCCAAGCAAACGACGACAAAACCTGGCAAAAGCAAGTTACGGTTCGGATGAGTTTGTGCCTGTTTAATGCAGCGCAGAGGTCTCTGAGATTGGCAAATTGGATATCATACTAACCCTTTTAGATTTTTGTGTAGCATTAGTGACTATTCGTTTTACTCTGTTAGCTGGTGATGCATACTCCTGATGTGTTGAAGTTCAAAACAAGCTGACTGTAGTGTATCTGAGATCTGTCTATTCAAAAGAAATTTTACTGGTTTGCTTCTTGGCAACTCTGAAGTAATTTTCATTCTTTCAGTATATTATCGTTACAGTTGTGACTGATGAAGGATATGTGTTGGGTCAATAAAAAGGAACAATTGTAAAATCTGCCATTATGTTTTGATGACTATCAAATATTTGAAATTTTACTATCCAGAGGAAACAATTGTTGTTCTTATTATGTGTTCTTCTGCACAGCAGTGTTCATGGTGGCCTGTGCAGTTTAATAGCAACTTTCAGCTCTTTACAGAAAGCTGACAGACAAACCATAGATATTAAATATATTATAAATTATGTATTGAAATTTAGTGTATTCTGAGAAACCCTTGGTTTTCAGCCTGATCAATCTTTGATGAAAATCACCTGTCTGAATGGTGTGTCTGCTTAGTATATTGTTAATAAGTTGTGTCAAACAAAATTGCTGTTGGGTTATAGGTGTTTTAGTACACTACTACACTTTCAAAAAAAGAAAATTTACCAGCCCTGAAACTAAAAATTTTCTATATGCATTTCACCATTGGTGGGACTGATTCTGCAACCCTTGCTCACGTGACTTCAAAGACATTATTCTCATGAGTAAGGGAGTTCTCTTTGTGATACTTGCACAGACACGTTTTATGGAAATAACCTGTTTGATCAGGCATGACTCTTCTCCTGCCAGCTATCATGTGACAGCTAATAATTTTAAATTCACCACATCTCTTATACGCACTTTTGTCTGGCTACATTTTCCCATGTGTTATCTATGCTTTTTTTTTTTTTCCCCACCAGTTGTTAGGCTATGGTTATACCTCCTACTCATTACTTGGTTGCACATAAAGGTATCAAGGGTCCAAATCGTCTCCTTGCATATGCATCCAAAACATCTGCCAGGATGTAGCCAGGAACCTGCAGGCTCTTCTGCCAAATAATTTTTTTGTAGAAATAGAAATTAAAGCAATTCCGCATCCAGAAATCATCACCTAATATTAGGTTCTGCAGTTTTACATTCCTAAGTAAAAATGGCCCCTAAGCAAATGTGTATTTGCAGCTAGAGCACTCTAAGACAAATTAGAATTCAGGTTTTATTGACGAAATTTACTGAGGAGACTTAGCATGGCTAATTTGAAAAACTCAAATATGATTGATAATGGCATATAATGAAATTACTTTTCTGTTCATTTTTCTAAAGCTTAAGCTCAGTTACTGTATGGAAATTCTTTATTTCTGTATGACTCAATGGAATAGAAACAATTTCAGTGGAAACTTTCCCAAAGTGGAAACTTTTCCGAAGTGGTCAGTTCTTTAAATAAACATATTTTAAAAGAAATAAGAGTTTGGTATATATGCTTCTGACTGACATGAGTGTTGTCATACTTCTACTGAAATAGCAATGGATTCTCTATCTGGATGCAATACAAAATATTGACGTCAGTTGCTAAGACAGGAAGCAATAGAATCACCTGACTTCCATAGAATTAGAAAACAAAATGCCAGAAAAATGGTTCTTCCCCTTTAAATTGGAAGAAACACATTCATTAGTGAACAATGCAAATTAAAATTATAGATAAAAACACATTCAAGTTTCAATTTAAAAGTGATCAAATTTCTTCTTTTTAAAATATGAGTGTCTGTCTTATGTTTCAGTTCTGGTTATTATTATTTCATATGCACGGATTTATCATTTTTTAAAGGGATGCAGAATGAATAAAGTCAAGGATTCATAATTTCAACCCTTTACTAGTCAGAGCTTTGGCTGAGTAAGAAAGACATAAAAGTCCCAAAACGCTGACACAACCAGAGCTGCCATGGCACCCTGATGACTAATGTAATATGTGTGAGTTCTCAGTACTCCTCCCATCTAGGCCAATAACAATACCGCTGTTGACTTCAAAGAAGAGAAGCAGATCCAATATGAATAATGCTGGGAAGATGTTAAAGGAGTGTTCAGTCATTTAGATTTGAGTAGGTGGAGGAGGGAGGATTCCATAATTGCGTATAATATTGCTTGGCAGTCAATTAATGATTAGTTAATTCTTGTTTTTAAATTGCTTTGAAGGTGCAAAGAACCATACGTATCCTATGGGGCTAATTCTGTTCCCAGTTACATCAGAATAAATCCAGAATAACTCCAGTGGGACTCCTGGGTGTCATTTTGGACACAAGGCTCAGGATCTCTGTCATTACAATAAAAGATAAGCTTTCAGACAGGCCACTGTGCAAATGCCAGTCACCATAAACGTGTTTGCTGCCTGCATCTCTCCCAACCCAAATGAGAAATCACTTGTGCAATGAGCCTTTAGCTTCTCTGTGGTTTCCACTTTTTCACAGTGTCTTGGAGACAAACAGGATATCAAATCTTGATATCATTCTTGATCCGCTTGCCTACACCAAGGTGCTCAGAATGCGTCCCTCACTTTCCAGTGGCTCCTATTGCTTTAATTATTGTTAATCACTGAATCTATGGAAAGTACTGTACTCATACACTACTTTGGAAAGGTAATTCATTCACTACCTAGAAGCATTTTGGAGTAAACTGCTATGCGACAGTACTTCTCTGCAGGAAACAGCACGGGAAAAAAAGGGCTTGCATTGCAGAGGGGCGTTAGAAATAGATAACTGGTGTAGGGGGATACTTCTAACTGTTGGTGATAGTGGAGAACTGGAAAATATTATCTGGGGAGGCAGAAGAAACTCTACCCCTGGATCAAGTTTGATAGATGTCACTCCAGAATTGTTGAGGTTTAGCTGGTGAACGAGACAATTTTGTCTGGTGTCTGCCTCCCTTCTTCCTATAACACAACAGTAATGGAGGGAGACATACCAAATGCACACATCAAGTTCACTGGATCAGCCCTTTCAAATAATATCACAAACTGTACTAAGGACTCTGGATTGTAAACCATCAAGACTTCTTTCAAGATCTTCCATTAGCAACACGTAGCAGAATAGGATTTTCCTTAGTTAGCACCAGACAAGTGTGGAAATACAGGGACTAAATTTACAATCCCCATCATTACTGATGAACAAATTCCTGATGTTCCCATTATTGGTAGTCAAAAACAAAGGAGAACATTCCAGTGTAAAATGTATATTCTTCACTGCTTGAAGACAGAACTCCTTATAGGCTGAAATCAAGTGTTTTATGAATGTTGTTGTCCTTAAAAAACAGAATCCTTTACAGCCATAATTCTTATTTCAGAGATACTCAACACAGTTTTTGTTAGGCCTGCTGAGTATGAGTGATGTGGCTGGATGTGAGATCTAAGTTTCACTGTTAAATAACAGAATAGGCCACAAGATGCAGAGTAGACAAGATTCACTAACATTGCACTGGGAGGTGTATACCCATACTTTTCTGGGTCAAGACAATTGCCTGCATGCCAGAAGGGATTTCAGCCTAAGGGTGGAGAAGATTTCAACTGTACTCACCAAAGGCAGCTCTGCTCTACTCTGCTGGTGGGATCAACTGATAAGAGACTTAGTTCTATTTCTGGTGGACTTCATAACTCAGATTCTCTGGTGAGGGTGTAATCTGCCCCTTCCACTCTCCCATGTTTCCCCAAGCTTCAAGGTGGATTACAAAAGGATCGGTCTATGCTCCCACTGGAAGCATAAAAGTTTTTCCCACTGGGGTGGAAAAAACCCACAGTTTAAACGAAGTCTGCTATTGTCTCTTCTCTGAGATGACTAATGGCTGCACATGAATTTGAACCCCATTCTGCGTCAGAAGATTTAAATAGCCACCAAGACATAAACTAGGATTAAAAGATGTATTGATGCTTTTAGCACAACATGAACATGTTGCAATGATCTTCCTGCAGAATACTTTTTATAACCACTTATGTCAATAGCTTGCTCAAAGAAACAAGGAAACTAATCCTTGCTTCACGAATTGTCTAATAAATTTCAAGGTATATGCACAGCAAATGGGCAAAGTCGCAGTCTAAATTCCTTCATTCAGAAACAGATTAGGGCAGCCATTATGTGCCAGGGTCTCAGAGAATGTTCTGGGCAAGACCATTGGAGACATTGTTTTATAAATGACAGATGGTGGACCTCTTAAGGTATATAAGTAAATGGGGAAAAGGGGGAAGAGATAGGAAAGAGGATGAAGTTTCTGTTCCTTAATCTGTTGCATGTAAGAAGTTGTTTTTACATTAAATAGGTAGAAAAAAGTCTGTGCCCATCTTCCAGCATTGACATAACAATGCAATAAATCTATGTGAGGAAAGTCCCATGAGGTAAAGCTACCATAGATAAAACACTGCCACAGATTTTATTCAGGTATACCTGACATAAAATGCACCAGATAAAACATGTCAGGCAAAGAAAAAAAAGGGTATTCAACAGTACTGTGAAATTATAAAGAAAGTGGAAAATTGATAACTACAGCTATTAACCACATTTGGTGAGAAAGAGAAACTCTGCAACACTTTCTGAGTCACGTGGATATTTTGTTTCTCCCAATGAATGAAACAAGCATCCAGTCCTGCAAAAACCATATTCTTCACCCTTTGTCATCTGAAGAGAGCAGAGGAAGGTCCTAAACCCTAAAGAGATGCTCTGAAGCAGTACATTCACCAAGTGGACTCCATTTTCATACCTTATTTAGGAACAAGGTCAATTAAACTGTGCCTTCTTTTATATTGTGGTAATCGTCAAACTGAGGATTCCCTATTATTTTAATTTTCATTTTAAATAAATTATATGTTGCATCTGATCCTGCCACCTTTATTTACTCGAGACTTTGGTTGCATAATCAGACCTCAAATCAAAGCTCACTGCACCCAAGGGAAATCTGCCTGATGACTGCAGTTGGCTGTCCATCTTTCATTCAATCTCTTCAACCTCAGCGGGACGTTTCAGAAAAACATCTTCATTCTTTTTGGTTGAAGTACATAGTTAAGTATTCCAGGTCTACTGTGGACTTTCTAAATAGGAAAAAACAAATAATAAATTCTTTAGAATAAATAAATACTCCTTCTCTGGTTTCCTTGACACAGTTTTTAATAACAACTCTTGAAAGCACTTCTCTGTTCAGCCGAGGTATTGCAAACTAAAAATCTCTGTAAAAGCTGTATTTTGATGTAGGTATAACTTGAAATTTGCTATGGCATGTCCATTTAAACTCAAAGTTCTTTCTTGAGAGACAGAATTAATTTTGAATGTGTTAACTGCCAAGGAATCCAAGTGATGGATATAGGAAAAAAAAATTAATTGCACAGTCATTTATGGAAATTCTGTAGCTACTGCCTAGTTAGGCTATTACAATAGATTTAAGAAAAAGTACTGCTCCAGCCCAGCAGTATAGCAGTGCATGGCAGTTGGGTTTTGCTTACTGCATTTTGCCCTGCATTTTTACATGCCAATCTTATTGTTCTTGCAGGTACTCTTGGATTTCAGCACAGGATTTCATGTAAAGGTAACATACATATTTCTTTAGAAACTTATTTTCTGATCAAATGAAAGGTACTGATGCAAAAATGAAATGGAAAATACTTAACTAAGGCATTGATGAACTTGAACATTAAAAACGTATTTAAATATCAAACAGTTACAGGTAATAACCTGCTCAGCCTCTCAAGAGAAGTTCTACTGAACTGAAAAGAGTATCTCATACACAGGACTATTTTTTAAGTAAACATGTACACTCAGAATCTGGGACTTGTAGACATACAAAAAAGCACATGACCTATACAATTTCTTTTCTCCTTGTTGGAAATTCTAAATGTCTGTATTAATTTAAAATGGATTGAGGTTAATGGTCATATAATATTGGAACTCTGTCAAAGGTAAAAGAATGGGATGAAAATGGAATGGCAAGATGGAAAACTTTCAGAAGACAAAAACGCGAATGGATCAAATTTGCTGCAGCTTGTAGAGAAGGAGAGGATAATTCCAAGAGGAATCCAATTGCCAAAGTAAGTAGAAAGAAAACCAAAAATGTTCATTGACAAGGAGGTTTTTCTGAAGACAGGATGATAAAAGTGGAGAAATTTGTAAGTGTATTTGCTTAGAGTAGCCGAAGCAAGAAATGCAGAATAAAAGAAAGATGATGTAATATTTCCAGCTCTGCTGAGACAGTCTCATGAGGTGAACCTACACAGCTGCTGAGGATTGACCAAAGGCTTCCTAGATCATTGTCATCAGTCTACTTCCTGGACAGTTCCAGCCATAGTCTCTTTGTGTTCCACATCTGTGTACCAGACCATGATATTTTTCTTTTCTCTCTCACTTTGAGAAACCCGTGCCCCTTTCAAGGATAGTGCATGACTTCTGTCAGCAGCAGTGCAAAAAAGAGGTCCTCCTGTCCTCTCACCATGACCGTACACCTACTGAGGTCCGGCTGCAGTGTAATACTCTTGGAACTTTCCCTCCCTGCTTCCCTGCTAGATTTAAGAGAAATAGAAAGGCTGTCCAGCACTTGAAGGGAAATAGATCTCCAGGCTGACTGTTTTGTAGAGGAGTCTTCCATTTGTTCTGCCATTTGAACCTTGTGATAAGTGGTTGAGAAACTGAAATTATATTAGAATTTTTTACAGGAACTATAAATAGGAAAAAAAGTTCTGCAGTTGTCCTCAGTAAACTGGCATCAATTATTGTTATCTATTATTGTAGATCCGATCAGATTGTGAAGAAAACCATCCAATCACATACAGCATCACTGGAGTTGGAATTGATCAACCCCCCTATGGAATATTTGTTATTAACCCAAGAACAGGAGAAATTAATATAACATCAATAGTGGATAGGGAAATAACCCCAGTATTTCTTGTAAGTACTCCCCTTTTCCTTTGACCTTTATAATGATGGATCCAGGGTGGGGCAGGGAGAGCAGAAGGAGACAAATTCAGTTGTTTTGGATTGTTACTTTTCATACTTCACTTTTGGTTTTAAAACAAGTAAATCTCTTTATCTAGATACGTTGCTATGCTAAGCACTCAGTGACGGGTCTAGATTTGGAAACACCACTTGAACTTCGAGTAAAAGTTCTGGATATAAATGATAACGCTCCTGTATTTCAACAACCTGTATTTACAGGATCTGTTGAAGAAAGCAGTATGGACAGTAAGTATGTCATGCTTCTTACAGTATAGTTACTGGAGCTCCCAGAATACCATTAATATAAACATAGGGAGCTCATTCTACTTTTTCTTAGGCAATGACACATATTGGTCAGGGCTGCTGCAGAGGAAGGAGTGGCAGATGCTTCTCCAAGTATTTGAGATGGTGCCTGACCTCATTGCCTAAAATTAAGCAGTGATGGTTCCTTCCCCCTTTTCTCCCATAAATGAACCCTGAATGTTCTAGTTTCTAACCATACCAACGTGCAAATTCTTCCATGTGTGAAAAGTTAAAAGAAAACATTTTATTCCTTTTCATGAAAAAAATTAACATTGCACCTACACTTATTTCAAGTGTATGTAAAATATTTTTTCGCATTTTTTTCTACTTCAAATCTTTGTATTTGTAGCCTGAGTATTGCAGTACAATATTACTAAATAAACCCTTACTTAAACCACTAAAGTGGTTATTTTTACTAAAAGTACATCAATCAACATTCTACATGCAAATACATATACGGAAGAAATTCTTCATGGAGAGGGTGATGAGGCACTGGAACAGATTGCCCAGAGAAGCTGTGGATGCCCCATCCCTGGAATTGTTCAAGGCCAGGCTGGAAGAGGCTTTGAGCCACCTGGTCTAGTGGAAGGTGGCCCTGCCCATGGCAGGGGACTGGAAAGATACGATCCTTAAAGTCCTTTCCAACCCAAAGTATTCATGTTTCTCTGATTCTTTGATTCTATGATTCTAGGAAATAGCACCAAGGCAATCGTGCCTAACGCTCATTTTCTATTTCTAGAAAGTCTCACTAGAAATTGTGATTTCTTACATTAATAAATAAAAGCTCAGTACTTACAGTTTTGGCACTGTTCCAATGGTGACTTAAAGAAGTTCTGTGAAAATTTGAAACCATTATTCCATCTGACCTTAATTTTTAATGCATTTTAAAGTCATTAACAGTCAGAATCAGTACTACAAAATTAAACTTTGTTTTTCTTTGTAAATTTTGATGATAAAATTCTATCATTTTTATACACCAAGATTTAGCATTATCTCTATGAAAAAAAAAACCAAAAGATTGTCTGATTTGTTGTTTTAATTATTATTTTTTATTTTTAGACACAATGGTGATGAAAATAATTGCCACAGATGCAGATGAACCTAATCACTTGAATTCTAAAATTGCCTTCAAGATAGAGAGTCAGGACCCTTCAGGTCCACCCATGTTTGTTATGAATAAAAATTCTGGAGAACTCCATCTTGCAAATATTCTTGACAGAGAGGTAACATTTCCCTTTTCAAAGTTAAATAATTTGATGTTGTGTTGTGTATATGTTATGAAAGTGGGGAAAAAAAAGGTGAAAGGTTGTGGTTTTTACAAAAATTAAGGGATGAATTTATTTTTTCTATATGTTACAATAAAATGCCTAAGGCAAATTCCTGCATTAAGAAATAGTAGCAAGATATGAGTATTTATAACACTTAAGATCTACAAGTGGTCCTTTTAACACACTCATTTCTCTTTCTGTGACAGCAACACAGTAGCTACACCCTTGTTGTGAAGGCATCAGACCGGGATGGCGCTGCAGATGGAATATCATCCGTTTGTAGCTGTAACATTAAAGTCATTGATGTCAATGACAACTTCCCAACTCTTGCTCAAAGCTCTGTAAGTTTTCAGTACCAAAACCAACATCACTGTTTGAACCCTGTTCCAAACCCAGTTGATAACAGAGCCCTTACTAACCCATACGGCACCTTCACATTTGAATGGTCCACTGGATTAACAGGATTGTTTCCTCAAAGCATGCTCAAAATCCAATCTATTGTTTGCACACCAGTCCTGGTGACATAGACATAATTATTTTGTATTCAAAGAAGGCAATCCTGACACTGACTTCTCTGTGTTCACAGAAATCCAGTCATGCAGGTGTCCAGACCCATGCAGTACAACCAGATAATGCAGATTAACCCAATCTTTGTATGATTTTTTCTTATAGAAAGCACAAATCCATTTCCTCTAAGCTGCCTCTGCAGGTACTTCAGGTGATACAGCTCTTGAGATCTGCAACCAGAATCATAATTTACCCCAGACACATGATTTTTTATGTAATTAGCATGGACTGTGGGCCAGACATCCTTTAAAAGAATCTCTGCTGTCAGCTATGTTTTCCTCACATTATATATTTTAGTGTTGGTTAATAGGTACTTATCTGTCATTGCAGTTTTCAGCAAGTATTTCAGAAAATGCACTCAGTTCAGAACTGCTACGAATACAAGCTCTGGATGCTGATGAAGAGTTTACAGACAATTGGTTAGCAGAGTTTTTCTTTATATCCGGTAATGAGGATAACTGTTTTGAAATTGTTACAGATCGAGCTACAAATCAAGGAATCCTTAGAGTAATTAAGGTATGGATAAATACTGTGATTCAACTTTTGAAATAATCATATTACAATAGTTTTAATTAATCATTAATAAAATTAAAAGAGCAGTAAAACCACTGTCATTTAAAAATTTAAAATAGAAAATACTTAAATAAATTTAAAGGAATGTTTATTTATTATCTAGTTCTCTGTGGATTATCTTTTAGGAATTGAATTATGAACATCGTCAACAGCATGCACTGATGATTGGTGTCAGGAATGTAGCTGCCTACCACCACTCTGTTGGACATTACATCCAAGTAACTGGAACACCCCTCACAGTATCAGTAAAAAATGTCATCGAACCACCAAGATTTCAAGAATCTCCATTTGTATTTTCTGTACGAGAGAGCACAAGAGTGAATACTGTTATAGGAATATGCAGAGCCATTAGTGAGGACGTTGGAGTATCGACATCAGATCTTTTGTAAGCTCGGTTTTGCTTAACTCCCTGGATGGAATAATTCTTTTAATTGAGATTTCAATGGCATGATGAATAGGTATTTTATAGGATACTTTAAAAAAAAGAAAAAAACACAACTTAAAAATATTAATAGATTAACAATAAAATAACAACAATTGAATGGTATATTTTTCAGCCTGCTTTTAGGCTATGTTTGCTTTTGTTTCCTGACCTACTTTCCTTAGCCTTGTGCACAAGACAAAGAAAATAAAATTTTTCTAACAGGGTGTAACTTAAATAAGTTAGAATAGATCTTTTTTTCTAACCCAGCCTGAGATTATTTTTTCTTTAAATGTTTGCTACAAATAGGGAATTTGTTAGCATCTCTACAACAGCAAGCAAATTTTATTTGCAAAACGAATATGTAATACATATATTCATAACATAATACTAAGTATTTTTACTTCACCAAATACAGATATAGAATGGGACGTGATCCAGGTGCCTGGTTGAGAATCAATCAAAACACTGGTGAAATCATACTGAACAAATTTATTGACCGAGAATCAATTCATATACACGGTGGGCAGTACAGTGCAGAGGTTCTGGCTATCACCAGAGGTAAGAAAAGATTAAGTTTTCTGAAACAAAACTCTGTTCCAGATTTCTCTCAATGTTTTTTCCTGCTTCTAGTTTTCCCTCCTGAACTGCATTATTTATAGTATCAATATTCCCTCCTGACCACAAATATCTTCTTTTTACAGGGACTCCTCGATACACTGCTACTGGCACCATTGTGCTTTCAATACAAGACATCAATGACAATTGCCCAACTATTAATACCAATTTAAGGAAAGTATGTATGCACTCTCCATCAGTGATTATCACAGCAAAGGATACTAGTGGTACATATGCTACCCCCTTTACATTCAGCATACATGGTGAACCTCAAACTACATGGATTATCAGATCGCTAAATGGTAAATTAACTTACATTTTATAACAGAATAAACAGTAGTATTTAGGTCTTTAGCAGATAACAGATTAGCATAACCTTTTAATAACAAACAAAACAGTTATTAAAATCTATTCTAATCTCACTTAAATATGATTTTATGCTCATATGAATCCAATAAGTTTCTCTGGATTTGCATATATATATAT